CACTTCGCGTAAAACGGGTGAAACTCCAACGTGTGATGAGGAAAAGTGTATAAACAAAGTGTGCTCCCGTCAAAAACAGGCATCGGACTGCAATCACAGCAACAACTTTTTAGAGTACGCAATCGATGAAGATCATTGCCTCTCCCGTATTGGAGTTCTCAAAGCAACTGTCTCAAAGCAGAATATGAAACTTCAATAATTCATAACAATGTCATCGCATCATTTAATTCGCAAGTCGAGCTCCTCTCTGATGGTAAATACTGCACCGCAGAAAGCTCCTAATATCACAACAACAACAACATACAATCAGCCAAAGACTTGCTGCCGATACCTACTGTAGTGAAAATAACAGCTGTATTCCCTGTGTGAGTGAGGAAGCAATCAGCGAGCTGGGCTGTGAACAGGGGTACCTGACCAAGGGGTTTGACGCTCACATTCAAGAGGCGTCGGCTCGCACTAAATTGGTTTCTTTTATCCCGAATCCTTTGAATTTCTCTTTGCTGGCCACACACCGCAGGTTGTGGGGGATCGCCTCTGTTATCTGCGCACAATGGTGATTCAACTCAGCCAGGAAGAGTAGGGAGGGAAATCCCACAAGAAAGACGGCGCAAAAATCACGATATTGCTATGGAGCAAGGACATAGATGATCGAAGATGATCGGACGAAGGTGTCCGATCATTTCGCGCTGTTCAATCCAAGTAAGCATAACTCACCTTCCTGTTATAGGAAAGGTCGAGCGTTTCTAGTAGGCCAGAGTTCTCCAGTATGCTGATCACACCCTCATCACTCACTGATCGACATCTTGACAACTTCAAACGTCGAAGTCGAGGAAGGTTCACGGCGAGAAGTGACAATCCTGTATACGGGTCACAGCCCGAGTGGGAGTCGATGGTGCAGACTGACCCGCATCGTCCATCAATGTATCGGACAAGTCGAGGAACTCCAACTCGTTGAGACTCTTCAGCGCTGATACGAGCGTCTCTGCTGTAGATGACCACCTGACAGGATCGGAGAGATCCAACAGCAACAAGTCTTAGTTCACCCCGTCAAGTTGAGTGCTTTTAGACGAGTCAATTTAGAAAGATTTGCTGGTGAAGGACACACTCCCTCCGGGTTAGACAGATCCAGGCGTAACTGATAGGCAATTTCAATCCAACCTTCTTATCGCAGGAAGGAGGCCCCACCAGGGATGCAGACAAACGGTCCGCGATCATATCCATACCACACTGTCCGATCTTCACCATGTCGAGTCTCAGCAGCGACAGCTCCTCCAGGCAAGAGGGCGTGTCCCTCAATGGCATCGTTATATTGGAGATGCTCTCAGTTGTCATACTGGAGGTAAACCGACGACGAAGTGCTCCTGTCCGTTGGCATTAACGAGTCCAATGCTCGAGCTCTCACCAACGCGGATTATCTTCAACTTCTTGCAAGTCCTTCGAACACCAGCGAAGGTCGAATCAACAGCGGCCGAAGGGATATCGAAGAGGTCAATATGAGAGAGAGCGGCACATCTGAAAACGGAAGAATAAGAATACATCAGCTCCGGTAGCTCAGTCGGCAGAGCGCGTGCCTTTTAAGCCCGTGGCCGCGGGTTCGAGCCCCGCCCGGAGTGTTTTAACCCTACCTCTTGATGAACAAATTAATCGCCTTCCCGTTCAACTTTCCACAACCCCTCAAGCACAGGTCCACCATGTATTTATAATATTCACTCGTAGGCAGCTGAGCCATTCGTGTCAGCGTCTCGGGAAGGAGAGTAGTAAACTCCGGGAGTATCACTCTACAGACTCCCCGACGTCGCCGGAAAGCCGTTAACCTTCACATTGCATTACACTTGCATTAGTGGCACAGTGACTCACACGAAGTCATTAGTGATAGGCTTGTTGCCGCCATTGATTATTCTCAGCTCATTACGCCCATTGAATGTCCGCACTAAATGCTCAAGGCGAGCGCACGTGAGCCCCAATGACCCGAAAGGGGCTGACAAGCACGTGTCACCAGCTTCGCCCGAGTCGGGGAGACATTCGTACACGAATTAACTTTGTTATCTGGCGGGATGTGTTCTAATATCATCTGGAGGACCTCATCAGGGAGACCATTCAGTCCACGCGACCCGTCGCCTGCCGACGAGAAATCTCGGGGCTCGATCTCAACCTAAACTAGACCTGCCGAAAGGGCTTTCACCGAGTGAAGGAGTTCCCACCTCATTCGGAAGGTGTTTTCCTGTGCTCGCTCTCCGCTTTACTGCATCCCCTTGAGGCTCTGCACCTTCTAATTTCCGCTTGAGCGTTCTGCTAGGGGACGATTTGCAGTCTCGTAACCATCGAGTGAAATGAGTCAGATCCTCTGGAGAAGCGTCTCGGAGCATTATCTTGCAAAGAGCCAATCCTGGTGTCACCAAAAGCCCAGAAACTCTCACCGTGTCACCGTTGCGGTGCATCAGAGTCACCTTCCCGTCAGATAAGAATCTAACAAGTCACAGATGGCAGAG